TGTGTGTGTGTTCCTCCCTGTTCCTTGGCGAGCTTTGTATTTAGTTTTCCCAGTTTAGTTTTGTATTTCCTACGTTCTGCCTCTCCAGCATTAAAGCTGTGATTTTTGAGTTCATCCCCGAGTCTGTGAGTTTTGCAATTTGGGTCCTCCTCCTGCCTGCCACACAGCGATCCATGACACACTGTTCTGGTTGCAGAGACTTTTGCCGTTCAGTCATTTGGTCAGCTTCTCCTTCTGGACTGTGATCCAAACTAAGACTTTATCAACAAATACCCACATATCTCAGCAATGAAATTGGGAATGGAAAGCCAAGGGCCATGGGGAAGAGTCATAATGATTTGACTGATCACCTACTTCTCATCTACTGGAACCATCAGCGAAAAGAAGAATAAAAAGACACACATCACGCAAGAATGATCTTGATCAAAAGAATTCAACAGATTTATTGAGCACATTTACTTATACTCCCCTACAGCACAAATCCTTTTAATTTGAGTACTCAATATACTTTCTCCAAGTTCCAGCCTCAAGCCAAGATGTCATTTTCATTTTATTATTGAAATGTTGCCATTTATATCACTGATGGAACAGATTTAATATTTCACAGTTTTGAAAAGCTCTAAAAATACAAAATTAGTTTTATACTGTTTTGCCCGACACTAATACAGCTATAATGCTGCAGCCTTAAGGGATTTTTGTTTTCCTTCTGCAATCACTTGCATGCAATTCTTAAAAGTATGCTTGCATGCAAATCCAGACATATCTTCATTACTGCATTCAAAGCTAGTTGTGTTCAAAAGACTCCTTCATGGCTTTAAACGGAAGACAACTGACTTACCTCTGAATAAATAATGTGTGACTGTAGCAGAGTAATGCAGTAGTATTACTGCTCTATATAAATATACAATATCAAACCGAAACCAGCACTTTTTGCAACAAAAAAATGTCTTCAATGAAAAAAATCTTGTCCTGTCACTGAGGTAAACACACTCGCTACATAAGTCAACAATTTGAAGAGGGTGCGCATGCTTCATAGTGGGTAGTAGAAAGAGGGAATATAGACTTTGCCCATCCTATTGTTATAATCTGTCTGCAATGCGATGGCAAGATTCAGGCAAAAGTTTTTGCAGAGCAGCATGCAGTATCACCTGGCATTAAGAACCCAGCCTTGATATCCTTCAGCAGCTTTGTCACCAAATACACCTCCATCCATCGCATGTACAGTTAAAATAAAGAAAAGATGAAAAGGGTATGGAAAAGAAAAAAAATTGAACTGGTGCTTTTATTCCCAAAGACTTGATTGCCAATTGAAAAGCAACAGATGTTTGCCCATGTGAGAAACCAACTGATGGGTTGCATTCTCAATGGCAGTGATTTCCATGTAAACACATGAAACTCTTTGAGAGAAGAGATGGAGCACAGAAGTGTTTTGTTCATTGTGTTTCAACACCCAGTGTTAGGCTGCACAGCTGACAGACAGTGTAGCTGGTGTTTCACGGTCATTCTCTTTGAACGTACAGTATACAGTTTCCTAACAACACCAGGTGAATATGGAAAACTTTTTTTTTAAAAATCACAAACAGCACTAAATAATGGATAGAAAGATAAATTTCCCATGAGACATATTTTACCTAAGTCCTTTACACAGAGAAGAAGAAGCCTGTTATAATGTAATAGTAAAATGAAATAAAGCTGTGGCAACAGTAACAGCTCTTGGAAATTAGGGACTGTGAAATGAAATTAAATACGTGCTAACATATTACTACAAGCTGAAACTAAATCGAAGATGCATTTCATAGATATGTTTTAATTAAAAGGAATTGTGCATTTGTTGAGTGTTACAACATAGAATAGTCTGTGTAAAACACACACACAGGAAATCCCACAAAAACCTGACAATAGACAACTGTCTGTTGAATATGCAGCTTTAAAGAATTTTCAATCATTTTTCCACCCAAAGTTTATTTTGTTTAAAAGGAGAAGGCAGCTTCTGACCAATCAGCATCTTCAGAGCTACCAGAGTCAGGGCACCTGGCTATCGTAGTGAGTTTATAGCAGGGGTGTCAAACTCAAATACACAGTGGGTCAAAATTCAAAACTGGAACAAAGTCGCGGGCTAACATTAATATTTATTGAAAAAAAATTTTTTCCTCCAGATATAAGAATGAATCTTTTCTTATGGACTCAAATAAGTTTTGCTGGAAAACTGAATATGGAACAAGCAACGCTTTATACTA